GCTGTAATTAACTGTTTTTCAGCTAGAAAATGTATGCATAATTGGAAGTCTAAAGTGCATACACAGTTGATGTTTATTTATATATTTATGTATGTGCATAGAAATAAATAGTGGATAACTAACAATTGTTCATCTAAGTAATTCTTAAGAAACCATTAGCACAATTGGACCTTGGAAACTATTAATGACTATTTGGGGTCTGGGAGAGTAAGGTGGACTGGAACATCAAAATACATACTTCAAAAACTGCATCTCAGTTCTATTTGCATTTATCATCTTAATCTCAACCTTGGAGCAAATCACTAGCAACCAAAAATCCCAACTGTCTCCAGCTAGCTTGGCCAAGCAGAACTCTCTAATAACATACAATAAACTACCACATCCAGAGTACATTTATTAATCTGTCTTCACGTCCTAGCTGCTTGACCAGTGAAGTTATGCTTTTTAATACTACAAATAGCTTCTTTCCCACAGGCTTTCTGCCTTCAGGCCTGTGTCCAAGAACTCCATAGGACCACTAACCTGAGGGACAAAGGCTTAACAATCCTGTTTCTAATTTAAATGCTAACCGCACAGAGTTAACTGCATTCAGCCAGCATGCCCAGATCACTGCATTTTGTGTTACGGGGGTCCCAAACAAGGTGGCTGATCTGCCTCCTCCGTCCCAACCCAAGTATCAGAGACTGATAAACCAGAGAAGCAGGCTGGCACTGACGCTGCTGAGTGCTGCTGCAAAGCAAACAGTATGAAAAAGCAGCTGGAACAAAGACCTGACTGGGTTTAGAATTATTTAATGGTTTTGTCTTGCGATTTCTTAACAGATCTTTGGTTAATAATTTTACAATGTGATACAAAAATCATATGTGGAAACTCTAGATATCTAGATAGTAATAACAGTTATCATTTACATCGAAGTAATTCAGGTTTAATAGTAACTCTAGCTTTTTCCTGTAAAAAAAAAAAATATACAGTCTTGCAAAAAACAATACCGCACACAAGTGACTCAGTAGGACTAAACTCAGTATGTAAACCCTTCCTGTTTAAAGAATTAAGTCCTGACTTCTTCAGGAATCAGCGATAAAAACTCACAAATACATCAACGTAAATTTATTTTTCTGACAGTGCTGACGGTTTTTAATAACACGCACTGTGCCCATATGAGAGCCAGAAGCCCAAAGAAATATAAGACAGGTCACTATTTGCCTTCAGATACGTGAGCACCTTCAATAAGCATCTCTCTGCCTGGTAACAAAACCGTTCTGAAATAGTTACTGGATTTTGTGCTCTCGGTGGACAGGACACACTGTCAGCAGGGTAAATATTTCCACTGTGAGTTTCATTGCCCCTTTCTGTGAAGCTAGAACTACAGCACAGTTAAAACTAACAGAAGAAAAAGTACTGGAAACTAATAAAGCACAATCTAAAAAGAAACAAACTTAGGAATGCAGTGAATGTTTTTCATTAATTCTTTCACATATGGTTTTTATTGCCATCCAAAAATGTCTAAATGTCTCTTATTACATTATAATAAGTGAACAAGGAATTCGTGTACAGAGCTGCTATCACTGAAATTCAAACTCAAACTCAGAATCTCAGTGAAAAAATTACCGTTTATCTGAAAAAAAATCCCCAAAATGCAAACAAACCAAAAATCCCAAACCAACAGGTTCTTTAGCTCCTGCAAATAAAATATGAATGCTTTATGATTTATGATGACTTTAAAAAACATCTCCTGAAGTAAAAATCAAGATAACCATTATAGGCAATTATAAGCACCTGCTGGTAAAGAATTTAGAACAACTTCAGTGTCCTTTTAAGATCGTAGCAAGCATCTGCTTGTTCCATCCATAACTTTATTGGATTTTCAGAGAATTTTAATACTTCTTAGTATTTGACTTTATTGGGAAAAAAACTGTCCTGGTTTGCAAGGAGAAATAAAGAATCTAACCCCAAAACCTCTCCAGCATACATACGGAAGTGTGTCTAATACTTCCCTCATTGGATTGGCATCACAAAAGAATTCCTGCATTGCATCTGCTTCAGCATATGCCCAGATGCACGGAGCTCAGGACTAACCTTAATGTGCAGCAGGTGCAGCTCAATCCATGTGAGAGAGAGGCACTGAGGGAGCAGGTGCTGCAAAAGAAGGTATAACCAACACTGCTCACATGCATAGCCTCAGTGCTATGTGAGGAAATTCAAGAGGTTGCCCAGGAGGCAGATACAGGCTGTGGCTGCTGGTAGGAGAGAGATAACCAGGTCTTGGTGATGTTCACATGCAGCACCCCCCATGTGCTCTCTGGGGGCTCCGTGCCGAATCAGACAAAGCTAATGCCTTTCATCTATTGAAGCTCTTCTAAAATTAATTCTCAGGTACTCCTCAAGCCTTTCATTTTCATAGATAATACTTCAACAGAAATCACAATGAACATACATGGGTGGTCACAAGACAGATAATACTGCTGCTAGATAAATAAGATTCCAAGAAGTAAGTATGCAAAACCACATTTCTCTACATTTTGTGGCATTCTAATGCAGTGACAAATTTCAAAGTATCTTCTTGAATAATCTCAATCAAGAAAAGAAAGCAAAAGTGATTCCAGAAATGTTCACAGCTATGCAGGACGGTCATCTTCCACCCCATTACTGCATGCAATTATCTTCTGTTACAGTAATTTGCTATGTTACTGTTTCCAAGTGCATAAACACACTGAAGGACTTCTTTGTAAATCTGTTTTGAAGCCCGATGGTTTGCACACCAGCAGCCTCCCAGAGCCCCTGCACACCATAGTTAAGACGTGCAGTCATTAGCATAGAAGGTGTGTTCTGGGGTATGCAGTGAGGCACAAGCAGCCCAGCAAAAGGAGCAGCTCAGGCGAGCTGCAGGAACCTAATTAACAGCACACTACAGACTTGTCTTTAGAGGTAAAAGCTGACAAGCCACAAAGGAGTCTGAGCAGCTTGTCTCGCCTTTGGTTTGCAAAACAGACAGGTCTTGCAGAAACAGCAGCAGCTGCAGCTACCCTCCATCCTATCGTGCTCAAGCCAAATCTGTCCAGTTGCAAGCATCTGCCTTCAGAAATCATGTTAACTACTGAATGCTGAACGTTCTGACAGTTGGGTCAAGACATCCATTGGTAATTGGATATTAAATGGCAACTATCTCGGTTGAGAACAGGTTTAAAGTCACCTGCCCCAAATATGATGTTGCACTGCAGAGAACTGGCTGAGCGTTTCTAAGCTTATACTGCAGATGGGTGAAATCCCTCTGCAACTACCATAGCTTACAGGTGGTTACTTCTGTGATAGTAAACCCAAAACAAAATCTAACACGTAACCCAACACAGGCGTGCACAGAAAGCTGACATAAAATACACATACAACTGTCATAAAATACATCCATTGGTCCATATTAAAAAAAAAAAGTCTTTGTAGGTAGAACCCTTCTAATTGCACCTTTGTTAGTGTTAAAGGTAGACTGATGTTTTGACATTATACATTTTAAAAACATTAGTAAATGCATTTTCTGTGATGAGACTTTCCAGCTTTGCATGGGGTCAATAATCCACATTATATTTCTCTTTCATTCAGCCAGGCTCAAACTAAGCAAACTAAGGCATGACACACACAGAAAGGTATCCATTCATCATTCAGTGAAAGCTCACATCATCTGCAGTAACATAATAAATAGCAGAGAAACATCAAGGCCACGTAAGTTATAGCCATCAAGATGAGAGAACTGAGAGACAGCCCATCTTTGGCAGGACGTGTAGAATTGCAGATGCATATTTTCAGGAAAGGATTAGTATTCAAGGTATTTTAGCTGTATGCAACTCGGTATTGCAAAGCTGTGTATTTTAGCAGGTATTTTTAGTGTGACTGTTTATTTATTTATTTATTTTTTAATTCTTGCAAAGCTAAATTGCAGCTGGTCTGGAGAGTACAGATTAGTTTTCTTTTTATAGTAACCATTGCTACACGTGGTTCTACAGCTGGTGTTAGGAGCCCTGGCATAAAGCAGCATTCCTGTAGCTTACGCATCCTTTTTTACTCCTATTGTCTTCAAATGATGTTTTTGATATAAAATATTCTAAATTGATTTATATCTGTAATTTCTCTGTAAATTAGAAAAAAAGTAAAGTTACTGGATTCAAGTTAATTTTCTTCACATTAAAAGAATTTATGCTAGCTTCCAAAAATCCTGACTGTTTTGTTTGAAAGAAAATCCAAAGGAGATTGAAAGTAATCAAAGTGTTTATAATGTAGTTTTGCTTGCAGCACACAATTTTGAGACTAGAGATTTGTTAATTAGCAGCAAAAAAGCATGAAACAAAACCTCTGTGCATAGACTGATGTTGTGTACAGCATGCACTTAGGTAACATGCTTTAGTTTTGAAACTGCATGCTTCAGTACAGTTTGCAGGACATCAAAGCAGAGTATTTGGCATCACGAGAAAAGGATTTCTTTTATTGTCACATTCCATTGTGATCAGAGGGATGGCTCCTTTTCCTGACTGAGCAAGCCAGCAGCAGCAGGTAGCCACAGAATGCAAGATTGATTGGTATAAAGGCATACACTTTAGGAGAGACTCATTTCTCATGTTAGGAAACTATATGAGAACCTTCAGATTCTGTTCTTGTCTCATCAGCATGTGTATGTTTTAATATTGGCAAGACAGAAAGCTGAGAAAACAAATCTTTTAGTTGGCAGTTCTTAATAATCTGATATCTTAGGCAACAATGCAAGACTTGAAGAGCCTTATTTAAACACATTCCTCTCTAAGGAAATTACGCATGTAGTAATTTATTTTAGTCTACTCCACCTTGTATATATTAATATGCATACTGTAATCTATTTAAATAAGAAAGTTGAAATATTTCATTTAGGTGCTCAGAGTTTTTAGGAGATCATGCATTGATGCTCTTTGTGAAAAGCCAAGTAAAAGATTCACGAGAGAGGGAAATTAGAAAGTGACCAACGGGCATAGCTTCATTCTTACCTTGGCTGTTTTTTTCACGAGTTGACATTTTTGCTGGTTATGGGACAGAAACAAAATATCTTAAAACTATTTCTAAATTCTCACTCTCAACTGCTTGGATGAAGATTGGCACATAGTTCAAAAGCTTAGTTTTTTTGCGCTCATAACCTCTCTCCATTTGCAAATATACATAGACAGAAAAATAGGGTGTAACCCCAGAGCAGTAAAATGAATCCTCCCACCACCCACCAAAATTCTCTGTCCTATCTAAAGATCCAGGCATTGATCTATCTATTGATCAGGCATTATCCATAATTTCAAAGACCTTTACAGAGGCCTTGAGTATGGATTGGCAAGATCAGTCTTTGAAGTAGGCAGTAACTCAATTTTAGCTCTGTATCCCTGTTTCAAAACCACAATTCCTAATGCATTTATTTACAAGAAATACTATTCAGTTAAAAATAAATTCTTTAATATTTAATTAAAAATAAAGTTTTTTATTTACCTTGGCTGATGATGACATCTTTGTGCCTAGGGAAAAATTCAAAGTTATTGTTAGGACTTCACGGAACCCATATAATGTAATTTTATATTTTATTCCATTTGGCACTAACTGTACCACAGGATGCTGTATAATTAACTTTGGTCAACACAATGAACTTTTACACACATTATTTCAATCAGGTCTCTATATTTTTAAGTTAAAGAGTTTGACAGCATGGCAAGGGTTCCTAAGAACTACTTTGACAGCAAGAGGTAAAATGATATTTAAAATAAATTATCACTGAAAATTCCATTTTAAGAGAGCAAATGTGTATCAACAAAATGTTTTAAACTGCCAAACACCCTCAGGTCTGCATGTGAAGAATTTACCACCTGTCAAACCAAGTTGTCTGCACAGAACAACATGAAATTCTCTAGGAATTAACCCTGTTAGACATGTGGGTTAAATGTAAGCAAGTCACAGTTTCATTTAAAATGGATCCACACAGCACTGCTGGATACACACACAAGATCTTCTTAAGGAATGCAGTTCTGATGTCTTTCCTTGCCAGAACCAAGAATGAACTTTCACAAAAATTGTCTTTTATGGGGGGGAGGGAAGAAATACTGATTTCTAGCATCAGAGTTGCTTCTTATCAGAATAACACGTCTTGATGGGAGAACATATTGCATTATAAAAAAAAAATAAAAAATCCACCCTTGAATACATTTGAAATTCAGTAGCAAGGTATGAGAGGCAGCCAATGGATAGAGGTCGAGTTTTGCAACAGTGACTAAGGGTCAAGCATATGCATGAGGAAAGTCGTCTCTGGCAATTGGTACAGTCACCTTTCACCGTGCTACCAAAAAATAAATTAAAGGCGAATTCACAGTTTTGCCTAAAAAACATTGAATGATTGGCTGCTGTGAGAACGCTGTCACTTCTTGTGACATTAGATTGATTTACAGTTCAGTGCTGGCTTAAAGATTGAGCTTACTAAACAAAGTCCATATTCCAGGCTGGCAGCGCAAAGCACATGTAAAAAATTTGTCCTGAGGCCTACAGTAGGGGCTGAATTCTATTCTCTTGCATAAGACTGGCAATTTTAGGTTGATTAGGTCAACTTTTATACTTGGGAACTTTAAACTCGGTCTTTGCACAATACAACTGATTCTATTAGAAATCAAGCATGCAGGATCTAAGAAATGAGTTTTAATATGCTCTTGAATGCAAATACTCTTTTTACTATAAATCTGAAAGAACAAAAGAATACACTGTAATATTCATTCCTCAATCAGACAATAGTTTACAATTCACACTGTTGGAAGCTTCATTTTTTGCCCCGTGCTTTAAGATACGTGAGCTTCAAGCTCTAGACAGACAACTTTTTCTGACAGTAATTAATCCTAATCTTTCTTCAACCACTCTTATCTTAGACATCTGATTTGCTTTACAGTAGAGATGATAGAAGGGTGGCATTTAATGTCCTCCAGAGAAAAAGCAGGAAAATGAAACAAAGCACTCTCTTTGACCTTTCCTGAACCAATACACAAAATGGAAATAAAATTAAAAAATATTTTTCAATATTAAATAAAGGAAAACCTTAACACTTTCTGAAAAATATTTTACTAGGATAATAGAAGTCAGGAAATGAATTTGATTAAGAAGAGGGTTGTTCATTCCTAAATATTATCTACAAGTACTCTGCTAGAACTGAAATTGCCACAGGGCATTTAAGTTCTGACAGTGAAAAACAATAATAAAAGGAAAAGAAGTACTTGCAAAATATGCAAGCCATAATCTCTCTCACACAGCACTTCACTGAGCCATAGCACTCTTCAGGCTAAACATAAAGCTCTCAGTAAACGTGCCAATAACTACGACCCCAAATTAATTTATGATGTTTTTGTTCTTCGTGTTCCTAGGGAAGATGGTATGCACTTACACCATTCTTATTAAATATGTGTTTGCAAGTCTCATATGCAAGCTCAGGACACCATCATGGAAATTACTCTGAAAGGCCGGAGCAGTTTTACCTGTTGTAGCAAAAGTGGCTTTCAGGTAGTCCTGCCCTGGGTCAGTTAATGATTATTTGAATGAAGATTAATGAGTAGATGTATGAGATCAGGAAGTACATCAAGGTAGAGAAGCTGGCAGTACTTTTGGGGCGAGCTCAGAACTCAGAGGGATCTCTGAAAACAGCAGAGGGCTCAACCCAAAAGTCAGCACAATGATTTCAACAAAGTGAACACAATTCCAAAAGATAAAAACAAAACCAAACATACAAATATGAAGCTGGAAGCCCAACTGGCAAAGAGGACAAAAAGTGGGTCACAGCAAGGGGGTGTCAGCAACGCAGAGTTAGAGCAAAACACAAACTCGTGCCTATGCTAACAGAAGCAGGTAACTACTCAGTGCTATTTTTCCCTAGTGAGTCCCCTGTGGAGAGACTAACTGAGAAAAATAATACTGAAGAAGAACACAAGGAACGATGGTTTAGCGCACATTACCCACACACAAGGACAGAGGAAACAGGGCTTCCACCATGTGGATGGGAGAATATAGCAGCAAAAAGCGACAAACTGTTGTCACCATTCACTACTGACAAAAAGGTCACTTTATTTATAGGTGCAGTGGTTTACCTTGGATATCCAGGAATGCTTTTGCTGAGTGCGGCATCGCACTGCATTCTGGCAGCAGGATGTACAGAGCAAAGCAGGGGAAGTTTCAGCCTGGCCTCAGCACCCATCAGCCTACCAGCCACTTTGAGCACCCTTAGATTCACTCCTCCAGAACTAACCCTTCTTGTTAAGGTGGAGAAGTGGCGTTCTATGCCTTGTCAAGACCTTAATGAAATAACCAAACACCGTTCAAATTCTTCAGCCCTTCTGTGACATCTAGGGACACTTGGGTTCACTAGGGCAGTGCAGGAAAGCAAGCACGTGCACAGATGCTGTGTCAAAGTCAGCCGCCTTGCACAAAGTATTCAGAAAAGCTGTAAGGCAGGCCTAGAAAAACACTGCAACACTTTACTGTTTAAATAGAACTCTTTGAAGGACAGAAGTTACAGAAAATAAACCCTGGCATACTATAGGTCAAACTGAAAAGAAAATCTCTGCCTATTATCTAGAAACAGTATGCAGAAATCTGTTAACCAGTGACCTATCTGAAATCATAAATGTTTATTTTTGTAACTACAATCTACTTTAGAAACACACACGTCAAATCCAGTGAATTAACAGCAAGGAAATACAATGGCATTTTCAAATAATTATTAATCATTAAAATGACTGGTTAGAAACTTCACCACAGCAATATTAAACTATAAATCATAACTCGTAACACATAATTCTGCTAACCCAAACAGACTATTAAAATTTATTTACACTCACTCCACGCTTTCACATTTTATAACTATTTTCAGATTCCACAGATATCTGGAGTGTCATATTTCCAAACTGTGCAAGTAATTATTTGCAGTGAAAACAAAAATGCAAATGTTTTTTTTTGCACGTATTTCAGTTCACTAAATTATGCAATTTCTTAATATTTTTATTTTTAAGTTCACTCACTTTTATGCACCAACTATACGTACTTGTCTGCATTCTTTGCCACTTTCGATATTAATTTAGATGTTGATGCTACTCTCAGTAGCTTGTTACGATTGTCATCCGAGCTCTCCCAAGCACTGTGAGGTTTTTCAGCAGTCAACGATCTCTTTATGCTAGAAGAAAAAATATATATATTTTAGAATGACAAGTTAATAAGATAAGAATAACTGGAATGGGTTTGCAACCGACAGATCAAGCAGCAGTAGACAAAAGCAGAGCTAGATCTTCCTTCAAGCTGAAGCATGAAACAGGAAAAAAAGATTAGTCAAAAAGTTCTAACTGGATGAACAAAAACAACTGAGCAAGACAGATGCCAAATGTTTATCCATTCTTTTGCATTTTCACACACTCTTACGTAAAACAAAAAAGATCTCTATACTTCATTACTACTTTGCTAACAAATTAGAAAATGGGGGAAAAGAAGCTACAACATATTAAGTTTAAAGAATAAATTTTTAAAAAATCACTCAGAAAAGTTGATTTTTTATTGACTGACACGCTAGTCATCAAATTTAAACCAACAATCCATGGTGGAACAACTCTGCCAGACTATGATTGAATAAGGTTGCTTTGGAGGTAGCCCATTCTAAACAAAATTAATAGCTTTAATCATTTTGAAAAATGTCTGCAAACTTCCTACATGAAGGCAAGCTAGGTTTAGTTCAGTGTTATAGACAAATCTCCGAATTCTGATGTACTTTTTCAGCAATCTTATTGTAGCCAATTTACAATAATAGTAAGCTGAAAATTTTTGCAGTCATTAGTTCATTTGTTTCATACACAAGTCAGGGAAAATATGTTCAAAAGTGATCTAGGCCATATTACTCTCATCCTTTCTGTCTTTGTCTGCATCTGTTCAGCTAGCAGTGTTACATGTCATCCCATCAGAAATGCTTTTTGCAGGCGTAAGTTCTGAACTGTAGCCTCAGAACTGGCAAGCTCACCTTCACAGCACCCCAGGAGGCTAGAAGAGGTCCTGAGACAAATACATTAACCAAATCATGTTACACCACCAAGAGACCACAAAAGGCATTTATTTTTTTCCCCACATTGCAAAAGATTAGTATGCAAGACTTCAGGCAAACACCTTTACAGTGAGATACCAAGGCAAAAGGACAACAGGCCGCAAGTTCAGCTTCAGATAACGTAGAGTTTGTACAAGACATGAAGACAGCCTTTATGCAGTGTTATGACATGCATCAGTCAAGTGGAAATTTAAATATTTATTAGAATTCAAGCAATGCAAGACAACAATCTTGTGAACTACAGTTAATTTCAGAGAAATAAATTTAAAAGCTTGTTCGTCTCCCAAACAAAAAATGTTAAAGAAAAAGATGTCATAATTTCCCAAACAATAAGTTAATGAACCAAAAAAAAGAAAAAAAAAAAAAAAAAAAGAAAAAAAGGGAGAAAAAACCCAAAAAGTCAATGCACTAAGTGATCTGAATAGTCTTTAAGTTCAGAATTAATGACCCAAATCATAAAATTCACTTCCCTAACTTTTCAGCCCATTAATTTTTTATTTTCTATTTTTTGTTCCTCCAAAAATGGCAGGAACACAGAGGCAAATCTAGAGCTCCTATCTTCAGTCAAGTCAAGCAGTTCTGTGATTTGGGTGTCAAAATGCAACTTCACTTGAGTAAAGAATCAAAATAAAAGTGAATTCTCCTGCAAACTAGCAGGAATTAAAAGAGATAGAAGGCAAAAATCAAAATAGAGAAAAATATCTGAACTGCAGTCACATTATAGAATAATTGAATAGAAAAACATCCAAAAAAGATAGAATTGCAATAACACTAGCCTTTAAGAAATGTAACAGCAAGTAGTAAATATCTATGCATGAAATGCACTCAATTCAACTATTTTAGACAAAACCTATAATGTGTTTTTAGAGAAAAATCAAGTCAAAATCATTGTTATGTACTTTAGGATAATGAATGATTAGAAGTAAATTTACTGTATTAGAATTTCAATCACTGAGAACAAAATATTTTGCAATCTCAAAATTTGCTCAAAAATTTTCAAGAGATTTGCTCTGTTGCAATGCATATTGAATGTGTATTCTTTCACAAAAAAATATTAAACATTAACTTGATCAGGAAATTGGAGCTATTTCACATGACTTGTTGTCAGATATGAACTCAGCGTCATTACAATCATTTTCTAGCTCTGTACTGTGAAAACCTTTTAGTTGGAGCAGAACTCTTGCTTTCTGAAGTTTGCCTGTGTGTTTGGAGAGTCTGTGAGGGCGGCTGGGGAGAAGGTGATGCTTGAGTTTGTGGACTTTGATCATTAGAATGAGATTCCTCTTTTTTTTCTTTCTGTCCAGGAGGTTTTTCCTTCTTTTTTTCTGTACCGCTGTAAAATAAAGTATAATATAGGGGAAAAGGAAAAAAAAAAAAAAAGAAAAAGAAAAAAAGAAAGAAGAGAACAAGCAAATAAATTAAAAAGGTGGGAGAAAATGCCCTCTATGAAATGATGGGCAAAGCATGTCACAGCATTATGTATATATCATCACTTAAAGAAACTTCCAATCATCTACTCACTCTGTTCAAGATAGAATTTTGCTAAAACAAGATTTATTTACAAGCTCTAAAAATAAAAACGGTGATAGAATTGTGGATGTTAATTTACTTATTTATAATGGATAGTTAACTAAATTTGCTCTGATTTAAATCCAAATACAACTTTGATTTGAGCATACTTGGGTGCTGCTACAGCATTTGAAGCTGACAGAAGTGAATGCAGCAGAGTTCAAAGGAAATCATCCCTCAAAACACATCACTGTTTTGAACTGCAGCTGGATAATGTCAGGCTATCTTGCCACTTCTTCAGTTAGTACGAAAGAACCAAGAATTCATTTTTTTGTTTTCACATTGCTGTATTTATCAGGCTAACATTTGAAACAGCTTTAAGTATATGTTATTAGAAACCCTAAATTCATTAACAGTCTAACTAAATGTCACTTGCATAGAACAGCACAATCTGCAGTATACAGAATGACATAAAGAGTAATGGGACTTGTAAGAGAAGAGCATTCCACAGTATATGGCATATTTTTATAAGATTAAAATAAAAGAACCGCTTCCAAAATAAATGTACCAGTCGAACAAAGCAGCAGCTAAAATGGGGATAAAAGGATTTTCTTCTTACATTCAAAGTGAAACAGAAATTGCACCCTTCTGAAGAACAGCATTTAGATTTCTCTTTCTCCACGTCACTTCTCCCCTCAACTGTTGTGTAATCTTAACTGTTTTTCCATTTACTATTTTTCTACAAAACACTATCCATGAAAAGGAGGTAAGTGAATACTCAAATTAATAAAAATGGAGTCCTGATTTTAACACAAGATACATAGGATCCTCTTGGCTCAGTTGTTATCTCAAAGTGTATCATCTATCACTGAAACAAAACCTTCAAAAGCTTCCGATGAAGCACTGAGGATTTGGTAAAATAGCAGAGAATAACATATACCCCCCCAAAATTTATAAGGCTCAATCAGAATTTCTACACCAAACGACATCAACTAGTTAAACACATCAGTATAATACCTCTAAGTTACATTTTCTTTTCAGTAAGAAGAAAACAAAACAGAATGGACATCAGGAAAAATTTCTTTACCTTGAAGGTGGTCAAACACTGAAACAGGCTTCCTAGAGAGGTGGTTTATGCCCCATGTCTGTCAGTGTTCAAGAGGCATTTGGACAATGCCATCAGGGTTAACATTTCATTAAACCTGACATGGCCAGTTGGACTTGATGATCATTGAAGGTCTTTTCCCACTCAGCTTTTCTACACTATAACAATGTGCCAGCATTCCTAAAATTCATCTCTCCATTCTTCCAGCATGCTTCTACAATTACCATTTGCTGACAGCAATGCATTATCTAACTTAAGCATTCAGTCTCATATTTTCTGTGTTCCTATCTGAACTCATTCAGCTCATCTGATCCACCTCCTAGAAGCCATAGGTTCAGTATAGGAATATTTTAATTTATTCACTGAACTTATCAAGCTGTAGATTGTCCATTTCCCACCTTTGACATGACTTTCACTACTTAGCTTCTCTGTTAAGCTCTTAAAGTCACTCAACCACTGCTAGCAGTTGCAGCTCAAGGTATACTTGGTGTTCCAATACAATGTTTTTTATCTGACGCCAGGCTGCAAGTAAACCTTTTTTTTTTTCTTTTTCTTTGGGGGGGGGGAGGATGGTTATTTTAATTTGAAAGTTAAAATAAGTTCACTGTAAAACATATTCACTGTGAGTGCTGAATGTATTTGGTTTACTCACTCTTGCTAAAAGCTTAATTGCATTATGACTGCTATTGTAGAGTGGCTCTCCCACTAATATCTCTGGAATGCCTAACACCTCTTGTGCAACAACTGAAACCAAATCAAAGAGAGTACCTTTTTTCTTGTGGGTTTCTAAAGATTAGTTCTTCTGGGAAGCAGTCACTTAATGCATCCAAAAATTTGTTCCAAATCCCAACTTGATGAGGCATTTCTTCAGTCCACATTCAAGTATTTGAGATCTATCACTACCTGTGCTAATTTTCCAGATTCTCCATTTTCAATTAACCCAATGTTTCATCCCTTGGATCACAACACTCTGGCAGCTGCAGTGGAGGGTGGTCAGTCTGAAATTACACAGCTCCTTACCAGAAGCTGTGTTCAGAAAAAATGTTTAGTCTTAAGGAAAATGATCACAGGTCTCTGTGAGCACAGCACAAAATACAAATGTGTTTCTCTGGTGATATAGAAAGCATGCAGCATGTTTTCTGTTGAAAAGCATTTCGGCATCTCTGTCACACATCAGTTCCAGACAGCTAGGATGAATTTTTCCTCATACATATTACTTTGCCTCTGAGAATCAGACATCATCTATCTGTTTTTTCACAATATGTTTCTGAGCTCTGTTTTTAGTGCTTCTGAAGTGACAGCTGAAATTGTAGCATATGTTTGTTGAAATGATACACAATGCTGTTGTGCAGATCATTTCCATGATCTCAAGATGTTCTAGGTTGGTAGAGTGAGGATTAAGGAGTCCAGGTATGAAACTGTTTGTAGAAGAGCTCAAAGATGGCAGGTCTCCAGAGGCCAAAGGCCCAGAAACATGCAATATTAAGACTGCACTCAGAAACTAAACTTCCAGTAGATGACTAGAAGCATGGCTACAAATATGCAGAACATGAAAAGCTAAGACAGGCTTTGGGGCTGTTGGTAATTACATAAACAGATGACCATTTCCACCTACTGCAACAGTTGAACCTCTAGCCTGAAAGGAAAGCCTGGAAGAGTAAAAGTGAAGTGTCCTACAATCTGCTGATACTATCCTTCATCCTGCCTCCTACTCATCATAAAGAAAAAGGTGTCTATTTCCAACATGGCTATCCTAACTTTGTTAAGAAGATGGGACTATTGAAATTCACTTATGATTCCCAGCAGGGACACTGTTTGTACAGAACAGTTTTGCTGTTATTACAAAAAGAAAAAAAATTACCAGACTTCACATCCACAAAGAGAGAATTGACATTTGCTTTCATCTTTCTTAAAACAGTATTGTTACAAAAGGACAAACCTATTTTCTTCCAAATACCAAACAAATTTTACGGGAGACTGTGGAAAGGAATTAGAACTGCTGAGCAGATAACTGAAAATTGGGGGGGTCTTAAAACATTCCTGAAGCAGGTCTCTCCACCTGCATACTTAGATTCAGAGCCAGGGCAAAGGTACCATCCACACATTAGGGTTTTCCTCTTGTGACCCATCCAGGAATCATTTTAAAGATGTTAACTCAGATGAAAGGGATGCTACTCACACCACTTTGCTCCTCTTCTGTACTCAAGTGCACAGCAGCCAATGAATCAGGAAGGCAAATGCAAACCGAGCACTGCTGGAAACGGACTGGCTCTCATCAACATTCTGAGAGCCACATGGGTAAGATTAATGGAAAAGTGCTTACTAACAAATACTTTCCTGCAGCAGTGTCTTTTGTCCCAGTGCCTGTTGTGCTAGCAGATAGAGACATACCATGATCAGTTTCTAATTTACTGCTGAAAAAATAAACAAGACGACACGCAATGCTGTATTAGACAGAAGAGTGAAGTCCAGGGTATTACCATTCCTTTCCACATTCCAAATGGCACTAAAGGTTTTTTTTTTTTTTTTATTTTTAATTTGTTCTTATACAGTTTATGTTTGCATTCAGCATTTTTATTCCCTGAAATATATCATTTTCCTGTCTTCTTGTATAGCACAGTATTTACATCCACAGCAGAAAATAAAACAGCTACTGGAGTTACCAGAGAACTCTGCAGAGGCCAAGAATTTGTTCACATAATTTACCACAGTTATACATTAAGAGTATTCTCTGTCCTGTGGCTATATCAGGCAGCTTGTTCTACCCAATGAACCAGTGTAAACTATTGATTAAATAAGCCATGCAATCATTATTTAAATGTCCCACAGAAGAAAGTAATTATAGAAACACTTTGCTTGTTGTATTCAGCAGGAACCATTACACTAGGGGGAAAAAAAAGCCATTGCTTTGTGCATAGGTCATTTAAATTTCAAATACTTAAGCTTAAAAGTGCCATTTTTACATATTTGAGATCTGATTTTAAGATTTTAAGATTTTTAAGATTTTATGTACAAAAAAAAAAGTGAACTTCTGTCTTAAAATTCACTATTGTTTCATCACTACTTTACTATTGCCTGCTATTTACACTCAAGACAATTAACTCAGTTTTGTCTTTAGTTTCCTTGGGGGCAGAAAGAAAAAGATCTGGATGAATACCAGAAGGAAAGTTTTCCACTCACACTGGAAGTATATTTGCCCCTTCTGTCTCTTGCTGGGAATGCATTTTGGCCAGTATACACTATAGAGATACTCTCTATTTATGAATTCATTTAGAACCTTGCTGTAAGCAGCCGAACAACATGGCATGTTTCCAAAGCCTATTTTTGTGTCATTACACATTACTTTCCCATTTCACTTTGTAAAATGTGATTTCAATTTTAGTAACCAGTTAGTACCTTTTTGCAGCAGATGAAAAAGTTTCTTTTCTGGCAACAGATACAGAGGAACTGTGGCTTGTTTTCCTGCTTCCTGTACTCCCATTGGTTATACAGGACATCGAGATAGCTTCTCGGAGGCTTGGCTGACCTAGGAAATGAAAATGAAGAGCAGAAGGCTTTAGGCTTTACATCCCCATCTCAAAGATCTATCAGAGAAACCATAAACTTTCAGAGGTGGACCTGGTAATTCCACAACAGCAGTCCCAGCACCAACCAACCAGCTGGTATCCAGTGGCATATGTTCATGACAGCCTTAATCTAGATAGCTGGAGAAGGGAGACCTGAGACACATAGAGAAAGGCAAGGATTCACTATGACAGGAGACACCCTATACTGCCACAATGACAGCATATAGCTTCATTCAGTGACATGTCACATCTCTTTCTAGTTGTGATCCACAGAGAGAATTATAGATAGATTATGGCTAGCCTTGGTAAATTGGACAGCTGCAGTAGAGCCGATCAGATAACTCCAACTCTTTTTCAAAACCATCACAGTTCACAGATAATACCACACAAGATCTGTTGCTTTCAACCTGTTGGTTGGTTTTTCTATTTTGTTTTGTTTTCTCACTTGAGTCCAAAGAAGTTGCAGACAGAAGCCCTCTCTATACTACACGATTCAAGTTATCCCCTAAATGATATGCCTTAAAGTAACCTGTAAGGGTTGTGATAGTAAGGATTCAAATATTAAAGTTTTCTGTTTATTTTCAGCTGTCCATTTCCATCTTAAGAAGGTCTACCTTTTAGCATGTGTGTTATTAAATTTAATTATTTTAATAAGTTATTAAATTTCTGATATAGTTTACTCCATTGAATATCTGCTTCACCCAGTGAGCACTCTGCAAAGCATACTGCAAACTCTCTCTTGATTGAATCAAGGTGTATGTGAGGAAGGCTGTCCATCAGATGCCCACTTCACTCACTGAGGAGTTTGAAAATATGCAGTGAACGTGGGAGGGGACTGCAAAGAAGAGTGGAGGGAGCATAGGCTCTTCTGTCTAAAGGGCTGAATGCTAGCTGACAATCAGCACATTGACCTGCCTCTGCCACAGCCAGGGAAACACATGGCATTTTACTGGAACCTAACATTTCACCATCTCCCACTAATCCTTCTTTTTTGGGTTCCTTCTTATTTTTAACATAATGTTCAGAAAAGAATTTTGTGCTCCTTTCCCTGTAGTTTCAAATTTGTGCTTTTCCCGTCTGGAGCATCCCATGCACAGGAGGAAAAAAAAGAAAAAAAAAAGAAGAAAACACCCCCAAATTAGTAGCCATTTCTGTCCACATCTCTGTGCCACATCCCCACTGCATAAACAGCAAATTGTAACTGATCCTCATGGGGTCGTGATGTCCAGTCACTCAGGCTTCAGCAGCAAGCACAAAGGACACGACTGACAGGAAAATCATACATCTGTGTTCATGGCAGGCTTGGAATAGTGTGAAATAAATAAGGCATGAAGCCACATGTCAAAGCAGTCAGGAAGAATCAACTGCTCTGTGCATGGAAGGCAAACTCACGTGGACATATCATTAAAACAATACCAGCTTTGGTCAATTTATCCAATTGTGGTTCTGTCAAGCAGGCTCAGGGACAAACTAATGCTCAAACAAGTGCTTTACATGTGAGGGAGATGTGCCAAGGGAATATTAGGTTTCAGAACTATTTGACTGGAAGCAGAAATGGGCAGACATGAGCTGAGTGCATCCTGATTCAATTGCACCAAGCAACACAAAAGGGACCGCATCTAAAATTCACATTGCAAGAGGCCAACAGAGCACACAGAATAACCCGGAAACAAGACTGAAGGAAACCTGAAGAAAGTAACAACACTTAAGAGCAGAAATACTGCAAAGATCACCACTATTCTTCCTAAATTCTTCATAAATCAGCTCTGCTTAGTTTCTTCCAACTCTACTTCTTAGAGACCATTTCATTGGACATATTTGCAATATAGATTTCAAAGGTTAATAAACCATACAAAACCAACAAAACTCAAGAGATTTTTACTCCCTTCTGAAGCTTGAATTGCAAGAACAAGAGCATACAAGTTGAAAAGGCACTTTTAGCATTAGAAACCTATAAATTAGATTCTTTTATTTTCGCTGACAAAGTAAATCATCTTCTTTGTGGAGATGCATAATATCAAGGCCTATGATTCACTCATGAACTGCACATGACCTTAACATCTCTGTCTCCTCATCGTAATAGATCAGTGCCTCCCCAAACAGCACTAGTGCAGCCTTCCAGAAATGGGGATCTGGAGGCATAATAGTGGCAATTTTCAATTCTGCCAGAAAAGCATTCACTGAAAAGAATAAAGAACAGCAGTCCTTCAAGCAAGGTACAGAATCTCACCATTGATTTGTTCAAAACATCTGCATTCAAACCAAAACAACAAAAATCTTGGGAACTGCATTGGTCAATTTTGATTTTTTTTTCATGTGTCAAAATACATCAGGCTCTCTTTTACAATCAAAAATAAAACTTTGGTCAGTGGCAGTTAGGTGCCATACAACGAAATGTAAAAATCTGCACACAAACACAGAAAACACAAACACCCTCAAACACATTTAAGAAATAAGCCCCCTTTCAGACTCTACAAAATACGTTAAAATATTGCTAGGTATTCTAAAAATGACCGTCAGAAAACTTGTTTTTAAAGGGAAAAAAATCAGGTATGTATCTAATTGTATGCAAACAAAAAACATTTTGATTTTCAATTGTTACAACAAAAGAAGGACCAGTTTAAGCCCTGTGCAAGTCCCAGGCAACAGAGCATTAAATTCTGGCTCTCCATTGGGACAGAGAACACAGAGCTCTTCTCAGCCAGAATGAGAGCCCAAGCTGGTCAACTTCATGACTTTTAACTAGAGAACCTCTGTAGTCAGATGGTTTCAAAAATTAGTAATGTCACAATCTTCCTCTTCACTGTATTTTACTACAGGTAAAGCAAAGTTGCTTCAGAGACCTATGGAATAACGAAGAAACTCAGGAAAATGCAATTTCCATATCAATGAACAACTGAGTTGTCCCAGCACTCAGATCGCATATCTCCTCCGTATCGTGCTGGATGTCTCCTTCTAGAATAAACAGTCTGAAAATTTTCAGAACAGTACTCCACTTTATCTGTAGCTTTGGAACAAAAGCCAGACATAAACTGAATGTACAATGAAAGCCAGCGCATGGTGACCAGGATTAAAGCCAAATTGTCAGAGATCAAAGTGGTAAAAATATATTTTATGGATAGTAGGTTCATCTCTGTTCTGATAATTTTCATAAACTAATATCTGTTGAGTTCAAAGAAGTATTTCATTAACATCTGTCAAGTATACATGTGTGAGAAAGAAAGATAAGTAGGATCAGGAAAAAACACAGGACACAACAAACCGATAATATATTTCCACTCCTTTATCAGCCTTGATTAGCTAACTGTGGGAAAACCAAGGCATAGCTGTATGAGACAGCGATAAGTATTGAAAACACACATCTCATGATAACATAATAGCTTTTCTTTCCAACACACTAAAGCTGAAACTAGTAATTCATTTCTCTTCTCTGAACTGGTTATAGTTTATTATCACCTTCTCTTGCGTTATCCATAATAATTAGTTGAGTATCCTCATCTGATCCTGACAGGTAAACTGCCTTTCTTCCAAAGAAAAGCCAAAACCTTCTTTCTTAGGATAATTTCATTTAGCTGATGTAGCCCTGTTAAAATACCTTCTCTGTACGTGTCATCCAAGAGGATTTAAAACAAAAACCTCAAACAAGTTATTTCCAAGAAAAACAAACCAAAAAAGATTTGCTTATATCATTTTTAAGCCTTTTTTTTTTTTAATATATAGTAATAAAGCATATGATATCAAAATCATTCAACAGCCTTAAATACTTTATTTTTACCAAAATTTAGAAAATATACCTATGTATTTAAAATATACTGCATGCATAGGTGTTTTGTGCAAATAAAACTGATAGCTTGAAAAACAGAAATCCACTGTGGTATTCATACCAAATGCATGTACCATCTATGCTTAACCCCACTATTAGTCACTAGACAACCCACACAGGTGAGCCTTTAATAGGGTAGCAGAACATAAGGCTTTATCAGTACTTCCCAAAATAAAGCCATCAAAAACAAACTTGAAAGTATGATGAATTTAGACTTACTTCAAGATGTTATTAATAAATTATATTAAAGCTGCTGTAGTTGCTTGTTTGTTTCCAAGCTTTCAGAGGACAAGAAGACACTCAACTGATGTAAGACTGGCAAAGACTTGGGACCACTAAGCCTCCATTTGAAAAGAGGAGGCAGGAAAAAATTCCTTCAGTACTTTGGTCTATTCAACTATTTCATCACGTAAGTTAAACTCTAAATGAACATATTCTAGGAAAAAAAAAAAAAGTTCTGTTCTTCTATCCCTCTATCCCATGAGCAGAAGTCACAGGTCAGAATGAGGTACCAGTTCTCCAATAATGAACAATATAAATAAGCAAAAACAAGTCAACTTCCTTTACTACTAATTGATTATACTTAATCTCGCTTAATAATTCAATTTAAAGTCAAAATTAAGTTTTGAAAGTATTCTTAAATCAACTACTTCTGTCTGAGAAAGTTTCAGATTTTTAATTTTTTTTTAAATAAAAGAAAATAATTTTCTTTAAAATAAATAAATAAATAAAAGGAAATTCCTTTTCCAATTAAAAGGGAAAGAGCAATTTAAATAGAGGCTTGTTAAAATGAATTGGTTTGAAAACATATAGAGCCTAAGTATCATTCAGTGCACGCAAATTTCTCTCAGTAGTTACATTAATTACAATGCTAAGAAATAATATTTATTTACAGATTGCTTACATATTTTTATACCTATAGATGTATATACATCAATGTATACATTTCTTACTATAACTACTCCTCCAACAGACAAAACTAGTTTTTCAGGTGTTATGTTCCCAAAAGTCTAGGAGAGCCACACTCCTAGTAGTAAATTTAAAACCTATTCCTGAGGGAAACTGAAGACTTCCTTGGTGTGAGAGAACCAACAGCTTATTAAAACCACATAGCACTTTTTCTCCCACCTCCCTAAC